AAAAAACCCTTTACACTTTTCCTGAGATTACAGAATTTTTTCTGACAGTATTTTTGACTCTTTGAACACTTTCAGGAATTGCATAATTTACTCATAATATTGCATGGGAATTTGGGGGTGGGGAATAATACACAGCTGAAATGAATGACAGCGTGTCACCCTCTCGTTGTTTGGCACTTTATCTCTTTATGTTAGATGTTTGTTTCCTAAAGTAACAAACGCCTAGGAGTAGAAATATAGTATTTCATCAAAAGTATAATGAATTTAATGAAACTAATAAATATTACAAGCATAGTCCCATCTAAATTGTTATACCTGTGAATAGAATGAACATTGCTACACATGCTTAGAATACACTGTTGTGCAGATGAATATAACAAAAAGAGTAAGGCATGTAAATTTGTGACCTCCACGTTGAGAGAGAGAACCTCCTTAGCGAGAAACCTGACTAGAAGTGCCATATTAACAACCAGCTTGCTGAACTCAACAAAACTTTAGGTATCAGTTCTGTATGAACCAGCTAAATCTCACCACTGGTTGTATCTTTTGTTGAACATATTTTTTTCGGGGGTGGGGGCAAGACCTCGAGATCATCAGAATTCAATTGTGGATACTGGGAAAAAAATTGAGTGTGTTGTTAGATGAAATAATGGTAGGATTCACATCTGCTTCTGCTCTAGCATCTAGATCCATGTGTTCTGGCTTTGGCTCCTGTGAGGGGGTGGTGGTGGCAGGGGCGAGAAAGCATACCGCATGTAGATAAAGCATATACTACATGATATACAACAATGTCCCAACCTCATAGAATGTTGCCTCCAAGTTATTAATAATATACGTCGGACAGGGCAAGATATGACAAAATACCAATTTATAAACTATCAAGGGCTCAGGAAGGAGGGGGGAGCGGGGAGGGAGGGGAAAATGAGGACCTAATGTCGGGGGTTTAAGTGGAGAGAAAATGTTTTGAGAATGATGTACAAATGCGCTTTACACAATTGATGTGTGTATGGATTGTGATAACAGTTGTATGAGCCCCTAATAAAATGTTTAAAATATATATATATATATTACTTTTCAGTAGCTACCCTGATAATTTATCAGGTCATTTGCTCCTAGGTAGTGTGTTCAATGGAAATGACAATATTTTTTAAGATGATGAACTCATTGTTACATGTTTCTTTTGCTGAAAGGAATTTCAGGGTTAGAATAGTGCTATGTGATAGACCATGATTGTAAATAAGGTATTTCATAAGCTCACATTTAATGATGCAGGACCATAACAGAGAAGGAAAACAAATCCTCATCTAGAGTAATTTAGCATGAACATAATTTAGTGCTCCTTGTAGGATGGAAGAGGCCTAGTGAAATCAGGCTACCCACAGAAAGCTAAATTTCCTCCAAAGAATGACAGCTACAAAGGGCTTAGTGCTCAGTTTGTAAGATGAGACAGTTCTAGTTGTGGGCAGACAATCTTTGTGACCATCTTTGTGAGGACAAGTCCA